TGATTAGTTTCCACCCGTTGCTTCTTGTCCTGCCCTCGGGTGCTTTGGAGAATAGTTTCGCTCCCTCTTCTTTGTGGCAGCCCCTGAGATATTGGAAGAACTGCTATTGTATCTTCCCTAGTCCTTTTTTTCATTAAACTAGACATGCCCAGTTCCTGCAACCGTTCTTCATATGTTTTAGCCTCCTAATCATCTTGGTTGTTCTACTCTGCACTCTTTTTAGAGTCTCCACATCTTTTTTACATCGGGGCGACCAAAACTGGATGCAGTATTCCAAGTGTGGCCTTACCAAGGCATTATAAAGTGGTATGTACAGTACCTATAGAGAACTGGGTGTCCTTATTCTTAAATTCAGAACTTCTGCAGTTCTCCTACATTTGCCTTCTATCTGCTATTAACTTTCCTCTGCCATGTTGCCCTGTTCTTTGGTTGTTCACAGCAACCTCCATCACCAAACAGAAAATGGCAGGAAAGAAGAGAATGTACAGTATGGGGTTGACACAGTTTAGGATTGTATCTGAAGATAATTATTATATGCTACTAGTTATACCGATTACCATAACTGGGGAATGGTTAGCATACAACAAACAAATACTGTAGGAGTAAGACACCCCTAACACCTCGGTGTGTGTGTGTGTTTCAGCATAACTCTGGAACGCCTGGGCCGCTGAAATGAAAAGGACTGAATTATATCTATTGTGTCAAGTCACAGTACTTTTGATAGTGATAGTGTGAATTTTGGATTCAAGTTCTGTTAAGATACAGCCTGTTATGCCTTAAAGTGACTTCTACTGTACAGCACAGTGGAGTTGCTTCACAGTACTCCACAAGGGGGCTCCCTCTAATACAGGATTGTGATAAGTACATACCCGGGCTATGCCGGGTTATCAGCTAGTTGCTTATAAGAACAGGTGATATCCAGCAACATCTCCAGTAGAAAGTTTAGAAAACAAGCAGTGTGAGATACCTTCAGTTGCTTTTGATCTGGGGCTTTATAAAGCTCCTCCATTTTGCCTATATCTGCATCTAATTCAGTATGATAGAGGCAGTGGTTTTTTCCTGGATCAACCTGGTTAAAAAGGAAAAGGAGGAAAAGGCTGAAGAATTGTCCAACACATTTAATAAGAAACTATGCCATACATAGGACAACAACATTTGAATACTTGCTACATATTCAAATACGGCTTAGAAGGTTCACTGCTGAAATTTTCAAGATCAATTTTCTCCTAATTTTTATTATAAATTTAAAATGCATTCATACTAGGAAAGATTACTACATATCACAAAAATAAAAGATGCACTGATCTAGCGAAGATTACAATATTTTGGGGTTGCAGTCCATCACATATATTATATATATATAGGTTCAATTAAATTCAAAGCACTCCAATTCAAACACTGCTACAGAGGGAAAGATAAGCTCTAATATACACACACACAACTATATTGCATACATTATATATTCAAATTACCTTTCTATCCTCTCTAGTAAGGATAGAGCAATCTCCAGGAGTATAATCCCATATCTTTTTTGGAGGCTGATGGAAAGCAAGAGGAGGAAATGAGGAAATGAAGATAAAGAAAGACATCACAGAGAATATGGAAACTCAACTAGTGCAGAAAGAATATATTTTGGGGGAAACTGGGTCAACATCAGAAATAAAAAGTGAAAAGAAAGAGAAAGTAAACCTGCTCTAGAACAACACAGAATAGCAAGGAAAACTGTGCAGCCTTGTTCTGGTTCGCTTGAAGCAACAGCTTTATAACTACTACTAAACTCTATGATCCTCATAGGAACAGTAGCTTAACAAATACAATTTGATGATGATTTCAAAATGATAATTTTCCCCCCAAAGAAAAGCAAACAAGTATGTTCATTCGATGTATAGTTGTTCTATTCTTACATATTCTTCACCAATAGTTTGCCTACTGCATTTTACATAATTTATCCTCCATGATTCAATAAGAATCTCATTCAGAGATGGATGAGATGCCATGACCTTATTTTCAAAATCCCAGAGACATTAGAGTTAAAAGTTTCTGGCATGTAATATTTGGAAGGCTTAAGGGGAGAAATATAATTATACAGAAACAGGGCAAATTCTATATAACCCTCAGGCAGGACAGGGGATCATAGGGCCCTCAGTTCTGTTTGTTGTAATGCAGGGGTGTCAAACTCAATTTCATTGAGGGACGCATCAGGGTTGTGTTTAATCTCGGAGGGGGGGGAGGATGACCAGGGTGGGCATGGCCAACTTAACATCATTCGTGTCAGGGCATCTGTGGTGTAGAGGTGAGTTCGGACCGGTTCCCTCAGCTAGACACGCACCCGAACCGGTTCTATGCTCGGCAGCGCCATCTTGATTTTCTGTTCTGCACATGCGCAGAAGAATCTTCATTGGAAAAATGTTGTTTTTTTCCCTTTTCTAATGTGCTCATGCACAGAAATTTTTAAGGTACAAATGAGCACGCGCAAAAAAATTGCATGCCGAACCGGAAGTAATGCGGGCAGACACCCACCCCTGCTGTGGTGCCCTAGCACTCTGCCAGCAAAAATGGGCTCCCGAGCTCCATTTTCGGCTGCCATCGCCTCGTGCAACCCTCTTACCAGCAAAACTGGAGCTCAGGAGGGCTGTGTGGAGCGCCCCCCCGAGCTCCATTTTTTTCAGGCAGAAGCACTACGGGCCAGTCCTTTGCTGTTTCTAGGGCGTTCCCATGGGCCAGATCTAAGTACCCCAGGCCTTGAGTTTGACACCCCTGTTCTAGTGTGATTCTCAGCCAGAAGGAGTTTATCTATATCAATTATTGAATATGAAGACAATTTATCAAATATCAAAAAGTATTTTCCCAACTTCCTATCTCATAAGGCCTTTGAAAAATATCTTGCAGAAATCTTGCAAATTGGGTCAAAGAAACAAATCTTGCAAATATGTAGATTATTCATTGAACTATGGCTCAAAAAAACTCCAATCAGAAGTATCCAACCTAAGTGATAGATACTCAAACAATCATGAAATCATCATATCAAATTTAAAATATCACTTTATTACTTTTCAGTTAAAACAATAATGATTAAAAATTCTAATAATGGCTAGTTATTACACAGTGAATTTAGCACTGGATTCTCTAAAAGCCTGATTTTTTTTTTAAAGAAATGAATATTTACTACTACAAATCTATATCTATAATTTACCATGGATATTTGGAAAAGTTGGAGATAGATCCCTTATTCCTTCTAAGTTTTGAAGTATCTAGATAAATTCATACATATAATGAATGGGAAGATAAAGGATTGCACAGATTTAGGGATGAAGCAGTTATTTCTGGTGGAAGTATTTTATTGAATTGGTTTTGAAATTCTCTGAATAATCAAATCTTGGATTGTCTCTCTCTTATTTGAAAGTTGAATCTTTTCTCCATAGTAAGCTTTACCAAACCTCATCCATTGCCACCCTTAAATTTTTTGACGAATAGTTCTAATCAGTGGTGAAATGCAACCTGTTCAGGCTGGTTCACCCAAACTGATACTAAAAATGTTACTGCTTCACCCGAACTGGTAGTAAAAAAATGCTTTAAAAAAGTTTTAAAAAAAGTTCCGACAATCAGCTGTGCCCGCGCAATTGTTGGAACTTTTTTAAAAAAAAATTAGCATTTTTAACTACTGGTTCTTTTTAACTGATAATTTAAAAAATGCTTTAAAAAGTTCTGATGATTGCGCAGGCACAACTTATTGTGGCACAGCTGATCGTGGAAATTTTTTTTAAATTTTTTTTTAGCATTTTTTAACTACCAGTTCGGGTGAACCCGTAGTAAAGAAAAAAAAAAGCTTTAAAAAGTTTTTTAAAAGTTTGGCATACAAGTGAACTGGACCAGACCAAGCAGACTTCAGAGCATTTCACCCCTGGTTCTAATACTTACTAAAGTCTTTACAATCTACTGTTATACTACAACTGTAAAAATCTTGTGTTTGTTTGTAACCTTCAAGCGCATCACAGGGCAACAATTTTTGAAGCAAGGAACTTCCAATGGGTTAATTTGCAGCATCCAAACTCCAGGGCGTATTATTGCTATGGAATTGAAATTTGGAAAAGTTGTAGCCCCTTCGCTGCTGCAGTCAGCTGCAGTCATGTGATCATCACTTCCACTGCCAGCTTTGCAGAAGGAAAATCAATGGGGAAGCCAGCAGAAAGTTGGAAGTTCCAGGCTAGCAGACAGGTAAGGAGGTTTCTGCCAGGTGGGGAAAGAGGGGCTGTATGGAGGGATGACGTGGAGATTGGGGGGGGCATGGCAATGATATACAGATTGATTAGTGTCAGGAGGGTACACAAGTGATAGGAAAGTAAATATCTCTGAAAACTCACTTCAAATTATGATGATATTTTAGACTTTTTCTTGAAAGTAGAAAACATTCTGGGAAAAGGATTAGGGATTTATAAATAAGCATAAAATTCTTGAAAGCCATGAAAAATCAACCCAAAGGATAATCTCACTTGAACTTTTTTCCCCCCTGATATATGTGTGCCTGTATGTCAATATTGACTCTGGACAAGTCCCTGCAGTTTTCTTGACAAGATTTTTCAGAAGTGGTTTGCCATTACCTCCTTCCTAGGGCTCAGAGAAAGTGACCGGCCCAACATCATCCAGCTGGCTTGGTGTACAAGGTGGGACTACAACTCATGATCTCCCAGCTTCTAGCTTGGTGCCTTTATTCACTACACCGAATTGGTTTCCCCCATATATTTTCAAAAATTACATAATATGTAATAGTTGTCCATGGAAATAAATATAATCATTGATAGATTTTTACCATTTCCAGTTGGCATTCAGTTACTCATTTTGCCTCAACAGTTATAAGTTATGAATTTTACTGTTGGCATAACTTTGTGCAATAAATTAATTATCAACTTTATCATTGAAAATATCAGAAAACCAAAGTACATCTTTCTTGGGTCAATCATATTTTAAAATGTATGAAATTATTTTGGATGAGGAATCAACCCAACAGCAAAGAGCTTTGAAAAAGTATGCATTGGATAGTTTTATTCAAATCTATTTTCCATTTCTTAATGACATAAGCAAAGCTTTTCCCACAGTTTACACTGGTGTAGACAAACATCCTTTTGAGTAGAATTAACAAATATGGATGTTTGAAGTTTTTTGTTCTCCAATTTGTTTGTTTACTTTTCTTTCAGTCAATTTATATGGTTGCCCATCCAGCAACGGTCACTACGAGTCACTAACGTATATTAAAAACTCAAATACAACCAAATGAAAATAAATATTTGAAATGCCGTGGTTGGCATTTCCCTGGATTCTCCTTTGCCTCTTCAGAATACAGGGATAATGTGTGTCATCCTTCAGGCATTTGATACATTACCGAGTTCTCCAGAGTTTGAAAAGGTAAAATCAACAGGCTGATGCAATTCATTCAGACTTAAGAGATTTAAACTCATTAAAATAATAGAATTTTCATGTCTCAATCTAGAGTTCTGTACCTTCAACATGCCCTGATTCTCTAGGTCAGTGTTTCTCAACCTTGGCAACTTGAAGATGTCTGGACTTCAACTCCCAGAATTCCCCAGCCAGCAAATGCTGGCTGGGGAATTCTGGGAGTTGAAGTCCGGACATCTTCAAGTTGCCAAGATTGAGAAACACTGCTCTAGGTGGAATATACAGTGTCGAGAATTTTACAAATTGTTAATGAAATATAATGTTATATTTCTACCCAGTTTCTTCTAGGAGATTTAAGAAAGGGTCTTACACAGGGGACCATTTCATCTTATAATTTGGCTTTCCTAAACAACAAATGTTCTTATGTAGACTAATTCAGATTCACACCCTGGCCAGTGTCTCTTTTCACTTTTACCATCGGGCAGAAGACACACAGAAGTATAACCAGCCGGACAAACAGGTTTAAAAACATCTTCTACCCATGGGCTGTCAGATTCTTAAACACAATATAGCACCACAAACAGATTAATATGATGAATTTCACTGGTGCCAGTGTAGTGTGTAATATGTATATACCATGATATTAAGATCATACACCAGAGTAATATACATGTTGCACAGAATATGATGTACATATGGAAACGAATGACTAGTTTTTTCCCCCCTAATTACCCTGTTTCCCTGAAAATAAGATCTCCCCAGATAATAAGCCTCTCCGAAAATATTGCAACATAGCAGCAGCCATGAGGTGACCACGCTCGTTGCCTCCTGCACCTGAAAACTAATAAGACCTCCCCGAAAATAAGGCGAAGCGCTTATTTCAGGGGTCAAAAGAAAATAAGACCCTGTCTTATTTTCAGGGAATCACGGTACTTATATAAGGATTATTCTTTATATTATTCATGTTGTCTTGTATTCTTGTTATGGACTCCACACGAGTAGAGGCTAAACCAATTTTGTTGTATACATGATGTACAATGACAATAAAGGCTTTGAACTTTGAACTAAAATATCCAAATACTATTACTTTGTTCCTTAAACAATAGGATCCTGGGGAGATTTCTGCACAGCAGTACAGAATTTTACATATAGGTGAGAAAACTATGCTGTTTATACCAAAGTGCTTGAAATGGTAAAGAGAAGCTGAGTCTTGGCAGGTATCTTTCAGAGATACAGTAATATGGGTGATATTTTTGGGCAGCAACACATGGACTGAGAAGGCTGGTAGGAAGGGGGCTATGTGTCGACTTATCTGCATTAATACTCCCAACTGAGACTGAGATATGCCTCTTAATGCTATATATAAAGCATCCACTAATGAGCATTTTAAATGTAAACGTTCCCCTAGCACATACATGCTAGTCGTTCCCAACTCTAGGGGCGGTGCTCAACTTTTTTAAGTCGAAGAGCCAGCACTGTCCAAAGACATCTCGGTGGTCATGTGGCTGGCATGACTAAAACACCGAAGGCACACTGAACGCTGTTACCTTCCCACCAAAGGTGGTTCCTATTTTTCTACTTGCATTTTTATGTGCTTTCAAATTGCCAGTTTGACAGAAGCTGAGGCAAGTAACGGGAGCTCACTCCATTACGGGGCGCTAGGGATTCAAACTGCCGACCTTTCTGATCGACAAGCTCAGTGTCTTAGCCACTGAGCCACTGCATCCCAATGAACATTTTACTGCTACAAAAATATTTCAAGCCTCAACTGAACTCCAGCCTTGTCATATGCACCTTGGACTCCCAACCCCTTGTGTTTTCCTGACTGTATTCTGTACTGCTTATCTCCTGCAAAGTTTGTTTGGATTTTTTTGAACCTGGAGTGATTCTCAACCTTACTATTTTCTGGCCTTTACTGTCCTTAAGCCTTAAAGTGTGTGTGTGTGAGGGGGATGTTCTGTTCTATATCTGTGAGAACCCACGTTGAATGCAGCATCTACGTCTGGGCATCACATTTTAAAAATAAATTTGGAGACACAACCAAAGATAATTAATATGATCAGAGAATAGAAAACTCAATTGTGCAAGATGAACTAGGAGAACTGGGTAACTATGAGACGAAACTGTGGATAGGACAGCATTCTTCAAATACCTAAAATAATGTCACATAGAAAAATCCAGTACGTTTTTAATCTTAAGAGTGCAGAAGTTGAAAATGCTTCTACAAGAGTAGTCCATCAATGGGATCAAGTTACCTGAACTTTCATTTCCTGGGTTTGTTGAAGTAATGGCTGGATATATACTACTTTTTGCTTGGGATGCTCTAGTTTCAATTGCTACAACGGGCAGTAGATTGGACCAAGGGGTCCTCTCCAATTATGTGATTGTGAGATTCTATTATTCTTATGAAGAAGTAAAATCTGGGAAAGCAAGTGAAGCTTTTTGGGTTTTGCAATGGTACCGACTTTGAACAAAAGAATAGATGAGAGCAGTGATGAAATTCAATTTTTTTTTACTACCGATTCTGTGGGCGTAGCTTGGTGGGTGTGGTGTGGCTTGGTGGGCGTGGCAGGAAAGGATACTGCAAAATCTCCATTCTCACCTCACTCCAGGGGAAGGATACTGCAAAATCTCCATTCCCAACCTACTCTGTGGCCAACCAGAGGTGGCATTTGCCGGTTCTCCGAACTACTCAAAATTTCCGCTACTGGTTCTCCAGAACCTGTCAGAACCTGCTGGATTTTACCCCTGGATGAGAGGGCAGTAAAATTACTGATTTGTTGCCCACAACTCTAATGAATACTGGATTAGCACTTGCTGTCAAACTG